CCAGCCAGGCCCATGTGAGGGGGTTGCTCCCCACAACACACACCAGCAAAAGGGCGGGCAAAGCGCACCGACAAGCCGTCGCCTGCCATCATCGTGTGTGTGTGTGTGTGTGTGTGTGTGCGCGCGCGCGTGTGTGTGTGTGTGTGTGTGTGTGTGTGTGTGTGTGTGTGTGTGTGTGTGTGTGTGTGTGTGTGTGTGTGTGTGTGTGTGTGTGTGTGTGTGTGTGTGTGTGTGTGTGTGTGTGTGTGTGGAGGTGTGTGTGGAGGTGTGTGTGGAGGTGTGTGTTGTTGTGGCGGCGGCGAAAATTGAGGGGTTGAGGCAGAGGGTGTGGCAGCGATGTATCGATGAATCACCAATGATATCCGCAAACTATCAGCACCCGTACGAAACAAAGCCACCCAGTACAACCCACGAACAAACAACAACAACAAACAGCAACAACAACAACAACGACAACAACGACAACAACGACAACAACAGCAACAATAACAGGCGCCAGTGAGAGCACAACAGCAACAGTAGCAACTGTACAAAAAGTGCTCGCACACACACATACACAAACACACACAGACACACACAGACACACACAGACACACACAGACACACACATACACCACCCATGTCGAGGCGAATGCGTTACGAGACGGTGAAGCCTGGTGCGCTGCGATGTGGCCGCATCTTGCTCGGGTTTGAGGTTGAGCCTTTATCACGGCGCCTGTTCTGCCATGTCCGAGCGTGTCGGGAGCTGGTCGCGCTCATGAGCGAGGACTTTGAAACAGATTTCAACGTGCGCTTGTGTGTGGCGCCAGCAACCACTTCTCGGCAGCAGCTGGACAGCGCCTTCTTCGCGCCATTTCCCGCAACAACCAGCAGCTCACAACGACAGCATCAACAATCAGAGCCAGCGATGATGCTGCAGCATCAATCCAAGCATCACCGCTCCACTCTCAACCCAGTCATCGATGAGGTACGCGTGCGGTGCGAGTGCGCGTGAAGAAGCCCTTGCATCAAAGCAAGACAACCACATGACGTGGGTGTCCACTCATGTACTTCACATGCGTGTTCGTGCTCTACATTTGTTGGCGAAAGAAGTGTGTACACTGTTCGCTCACCTACGCGCCTGATTTCACGCGTTCGTTGGCAGGAGTTTGTGTTTGACCTGCAGGACCTGTGGCTGCACGCTGCACAGTTTCGACTGCATGTCGCCGTCGTCTGCAGCGCTCCCATCGACCAAGACGGTGCGTATGCTTGCACGCACACGTGCGCATGAGAGAAGAACCCACATAAGAACAGAAGCAGCAGTGCCAATCCCATCACATCACAGAGGATGCATGAATCTCCTCATCTCGTGAAGCGTTGCTGACGTTCATACAACAAAGAAGAGGAATTGTCGCTCTTGTCTTCCCAAGCACACAATCTCATTTGTGTGAGCGCGCTGCATGAGTGTACTCACATGTCTGTGTGTTTGTTAACATGTCTGCTTATCCGTGGCGCAGATACAGGATGTGCTGGCTGCTTATCGATGGGCCTTCGGCACGTGCTGGGAGGAGACGTGGCAGGCCCAAAGTGGTACTGGTTGCTGCCGAAAGCTGAAGGTATGTGCAAGGCAACGACCATCAAGCACCAGCCCGCCACGCTGCCGTCCCAGCGAGAGACCAGCACAGCCCTGGCTTCGCTTCCAGATGCTGTTGTTGTTGGTGGCAGACATCCTCGTAGGCCGTTTGCAAAGGTGCGTGGGTGTACGCGTGCGGCCATGGGCTGCACCAAACACAAAACGAGTTGTCACCAGCACGTGCAGGCCCAGCGATTACGTTGTTTCTCACTGGACATCTCATTGTCCCTTGACACTACTCCTGCATCACCGCCACCACCACTACCATGGCATTCGCATCATCACAATCAACGTCACCACACCCATCATGGTTAGATCAATGGCGTATACGACCGACAAGTCGACGAGGTGAGCGCGTCGAGGCCCGTCTATCGCCACCGCGACAACGGCCTGTATCTTTGGTTTCATGAAGGGCGCCGGGCCTGGCTCATATCCGACCTCGTTCGCCACCCAGCGCCGTACGCATATGCAGAGGACGCAGCCGTCAACCCAGGTCTGTCTTTTTTTGGTTCGCGCGTGTTCGTGTGTGCGTGTATATGCGTGAACGAAGTGTGCGTATGTGTGTGTAAGTGTGTATGTGTATGATCTATGTGTGTGTTTGTTGTACGTGTCATATGTCTGTGCGTGAGTGAACTCGAGTGAGGGCAAGTGATCTAGGCGTTGTCATTTCAGTGCCTCTGATCGACGAACATTCATGGACAATGCGTTGTGTCCGTCGTCTTCCCTCCTGCAGGACGCGTGCAGCAGCCGTGGTTTGTGTTCAACAGGGCCGAGACGTTTACAACAGCGGACACGAAGCGACTTCAGACCTCACACATCTCCTCCACCACACCTTCCCTCAATGACGGCATGAGCCTGCTATCCCATCACGACGACCACCACAATCAAATGATGCTCAGCGGAATGCCTCCACAGCAGCAACAGCGGGCGCCTGCCGCGCAATTTGAATACGATCTCGCGGTGCGGTGTCGGGCGTTTGCTTAATAGACGCGCGTGTGCGTGTGCTGCGCAGTGTGCGTGTGTGTGGCTGTGTTGTTGCGTATGGGCAGGTGATGACAGCTGTGACGATGTGGTCTGCTGTGACGTGCTGGGATTGTTTATTCTTGTCGGTCGCTTGCACGTGTGTGCAGTCGGACGAGAGAGGCACGCGCTGTATTGCATGTGCTCACGCGCTTGCGTGAGTGTGCGTGAGCGTGTATTGCCACAAGTGCAAGGTGCATTCCAAGTCAAGGGTGGGTCAGATGAGTGTGCAGAGTGTTGATTTGGTGGCCATGTGCACAGGCACTGCGCCGTCGCCCTGAGCATGGTGCGATGTTTGTTGTGAGGACACGGAATATGATGGTGATAAACGAAAGCAGGCAACGTTCAAGCGGTGCATGTACGTACACATTGTCATAGATGAGCAAGGCAGAGAGGGATAGATGAAGTGACACACAGACAGACAGGCGGAGATGAAACGGCGTGCAATCACACACAGACACATACACACACACACACACACACACACACACACACACACACACACACACACACACACACACACACACACACACATACCAGCGGTCTGGTTGGGGTGGCCATGAACACGTTATCCGCCTTGATGTCACGGTGAGCAATGCCAAGAGTGTGCATGTGTCGAACGCCATCCATCACTTGCCTGAGAATGTTCGTGACTAGAGGACCGTCTATGCCTGGCAACAGCACACAACCAAGACGACGCACGTATACGCATGTTGATAGAGAGAGAGAGAGTGTGTGTGTGTCAGTATAAATGTGCGTGTGTGCGTGTAAATATACGTGTGCGTGTGCATATGTGCGTGTGTGTGTGTGCGAATGAAGGTGTTTGCGAGCCGTTCGCTGGGAGGGCGTGCGTACAGGTGCTGGGCAGTGCTGTAGTGTTGTTTGCATATTCACCTCTTTCCAGATGCTCGTTCAAGGTGCCAAGTTTGCCAAGCTCCAGCACGAGCGCTGTCTCTGCCGGCGTGTCCACCACCTGGAAAGCAAGGAAGAACAAAGGGTTGATGTCCGGTCGTGAGAGGAAGCGCACGACAATTGCACACATCAGACCATGGCCGCATGCACACGCACCTGGTAGAGAAAGACGAGGTTTGGGTGGTTGAGCCTGGCCATGAGGTAGATTTCATTCATGATGGTGCGGGCAGCATCGTTGGAGTACGGCTTCAAGATCCGCTTGATCGCGACATCATCTGCAACAATTCGTGGTGACATACAGCACACGAACAGCGCAAACACATGTAGCCATGAGTGCACGTGCGAGGGTGTGTACGTGTTTATGTATGCATGTGCGCGCGCATGTGTCTGTGCACGTATGCTGTATTTGTGGGGTTCACTTGTGTCTGTGCGTACGTGTGTGCATGTGTTTGTATTATGTCTGTGGCAGTATCTTTTGCGCGCGCGTGTGTGCGTGTGCCATATCGTCTTGCTCACCTCCAGTCATGGAGTGCCGGCCTTGAACGACCTTGGCAAAGGCGCCTTGTCCGAGTTGCCTTTGAAGCTTGTACCCGGAGAGACGCTTTCCTTTACGGCTCTCCTCGCGTGCCTTCTTCCCGTCGAGGAACTCGTTGAACCGCTTGTACGAGCGGATCATGGCAGTCGCTTGAGGGGGCTGGCCCAGAGCACTTGTGCGTTGGGATCGCTGTTCTTGCTCGTACCGGCTGTGATGGCAAGGTCCCTTCTGGCTCTCACTTGGCGAGTGTAGTTGGCGCGGTTGTGCTCTCTGTTGCTGCTGTGGTGAGGCCGCTGGCTGTTGCATGTGGCTGTCTGTGTGCCTTTGGATGTGCACATGCTTCGCGAAGCCAACCCTGGTTGTCCTTGCTTGTCTTCTTCAGTTTCTGTTGCTTCGGGTCTTCTTGGCAACCAAGTGCACCCTGCAGCCGCACCGCGCGTTGTTGTCGGGCAGAAGGCATCCAGCCATCCTCACTCCCAAATGCGGGCATGCAGCAAGGCAAGGTCACACAGGAAGGAAGGGAAGGTGTGTGTGTGTGTGTGTGTGTGTGTGTGTGTGTGTGTGTGTGTGTGTGTGTGTGTGTGTGTGTGTGTGTGTGTGTGTGTGTGTGTGTGTGTGTGTGTGTGTGTGTGTGTGTGTGTG